CAATCCCCCATATATATATATATATGTATGTGTATGTACATCTCCAGAGATAGTTTCCCCCAAAACCGAGCCAAAGCCCAATCCAGCTCAATGCCATATTCGGGGCAATCTTGCAAGCTTGACGGCCTTTTGTTCAGGGTTTGTTGTGTGTAGGGTTTTGGGATACCACCCCACTGATGGAGAATCGAATGGATAAGAAAAACGAAAATGAAGAGGAAACTGCGGGCTATTTAGTTTTTCTGCGTGGTATGGATTTTATGGATTTTGGTAATCCCAGGCCAACTATCAGGACAATATACGCGTCAGATGGCAGTCATAGGGCCAAGCCCTCTTACCATTCTTATTTTGTTGCATTCTTTGTTTTGGCTGGTTACAGATGGTCTTGAGTATCGCTGGTCAGCTGCTAGGATGGTTGGTTTCAGTGCCATGCTTATGGCAAGTTAGCACTGCGATGACTATGCCATTTTTTCATGGTCGTAGTGCGAGTAGAATCTACAAGGTTCCTGAACATATTTCTGAATTTCTGTTACCTAGAATCCAAATATTTAGCTGAAATTATAATTTCTACTGGGGTTCCAAATCCCTTAGAGGAATGGGTATCTGGCCAAGGCTGCGATGTGAGCAAAGTGACGGAGTCACAAGGGGCGCCACCCTCTCGCCCGTGACGCGGATGCAGTTAAAGGCCCAGGTTTTGGGCTTTAGTGTGGAGTCCTCCATAAGCAGACAAAGACGCTGTGCAGCATATGGGAACATCGAATCTAGGCGTATCTGTAGCTTCTCCTTGAGGATGACCAGTCACGTATGGGATTGTATTAAGATTTCGCGATCATTTCACGGGTGTGATTTGGGACGTATCAATTGCCATTTGCATGATCGCTTTCTAACGGACATCAAAATCAAAGCTACTATTTCTGATCTAGGATGCAAGGATTTTACAGGAAATGGAAAAACTACGTCCTAACCATGTTGGCTATATCGAGGTGACTATTGGGATCTACTCCTCCAATCTTTACACACATGTTTGGACATGCCATAGCTGAGGTTGCCTTCATGCGCTTACAGAAGTAACACTATGCAGGGTTTGGAAAGGGTGTAGTAGGGTGGTCTCTGAGAGTTTGTAAGGGTTTCCTTCGCGCAGAATTTCGGACCTGTTTGATCATAATAGGATTCTGGGGGTAGTATATTCTGATCAGCGCTAGATCTATAAGGATATTCTCGTCAATCGTTCAAGTTCCTGCAGTACTTCAGAGCTGCGTCGTTGTTGGACATGATGAAATTGGTGTTTTTATTTTAAATCCCAACTAAGAGACAATTTGTTCAATAGCATCCCTTAAGGAACCCAAAGCCCTAAACCCCAAGCCGTGTCTCTTTCTGTGGATTTCTGAGCCGCCTAGGCGACGGTTGCCTCAGTCCTGTGGGCACAGGCCGAAGTACTACCGAACGAGGGCCAACGCATCTTGGCAAGCGAAACCTGAGTCATTTCTGGAGATATTTCCTATTTCTTATACTCAGGAGCACAAATTGTAGGTAAAACAGTGTTAGAGTCATAATAGTCGCCCAGCAAGGAGCCGGTCGTGAGGAGCTACGTACATACACACATAGACGCATACCTGCATACTTTTCGGTGAACGTTTTAACGTTGAGAGAGTTACGTACACCTGCTGTCTTTGGGATCAGCATACTCAGGGTAAGATGAGGAGCAAACCCCGAACCCTGAGCCCAAACCCTTAAACCCGCATGGCTATACCCTAAACCCCAAATCCCAAACCCTAAACCCTCCCAAGTCCCAAGAATCATGAGGAAAGGTGGCAGATGTCTGATTGGTCATCTTGCAGGCCGCACCCGGCTTCATCCCGCCTCCCTGATGACAAACACCCCCACCCTTGCATTGGTGTCACCCCCCAGGGGCTTATTATATAGGGGGTTATATAGAAATAATGGAGAAGAACATGGAAGCTACTTTTTAGGAATTAGGGGCTAGTACCACTTTTAAATGGAGGGGAGTTTTTATTATTAGCGATTGGCGGGGTTTAGTCTTGGGGGAGGAGGGGCTTATACTGAACCCAAGCCCTGACTCACTTAGCCCGCCCTGTCCCCCGAAAGTTCCCTGAAAGACATGACTCTGGAAGGGCTTCTGTCCTTCTTAGAGCAGAAGATTGTCGCGGAGCTGACATGGGGTGCAGGCCTCAGCTTCTGAAAGTGGTTCCTGAAACAGTTTGGTCTAGGTCTTTCACTTGCGAGTCTCCGAAACTTTGCATAGCATCCATTGGAAAACTGAGAAGCCCTGAACTCCCTACGATTCTTCATGGCTTTGAATTAGGAGTGTGACAGACGGGCCAGCTGAAAAGAGCTTCTGTGACGGGTCTGGGCCACAGTCTGAAGAAGAATCCGCATGGTGGCAATACTTAGCCGAGGGCACCTCTCCTCCAATGTGCGTGCAGTTGAGGCCCTGTTGCAAAGTTGGCTCAAAACAGGACAGTGTTGCCAAGCCTCGCACAGTCTTTACGATTTGAAAGCATGGCCTGCCGGTTACTTCTGTCAATCTTTGTGGCGGCTGTAGCGCTGCCAGTGTCTAAGGCTGCTTG